ATTTTAGTCTAGTATTTCTCACTGAGTTTCATTGTGGATCAGAATGTGGAACAATGTGTATGGGGGGGGGGAGGGTTGATGATATTCCAAATATATATATATATATATATATATATATATATATATATATATATATATATATATATATATATATATACATTTTAGTTCAGATAATAATCTACTTCTTTCTTCAGGATAATATTCTCATGATGTTAGTACTCATTTGAGTGGTGAGTGCCGCTGTCTATCTACGTCTCTTCCTAATGAATTATCTATCTGTCTGTCTATCTATCTTGTGACGAACTGTCTATCACCTTTCGAACTATCTGTGTGCGTATGTCTACCCGTCTTCTGGCGCAGAGTGAAGCATTTAGTGAGATATGATTTGAGTCACTTGACCTCAGGCCAGGCTCGTTAAAGCTGCGACCGTCCCACAAGATGCAAAGTTAGTCTGCGTGTGTGTGTCTCTCTCTGAGTCTCAAGCCGTTCCAACAGCTCACGAAGATCACAGTTCTCAGAACCTGGCTATCTTCCTGGGAACTTGTCGGTCTCCAAACTGTAAAAGAAAAAGCTAAGAGGGAAAAGCCATGAAGAAAATCTTCGTCGGAGCCTCTTTTTGCCTCATCGTCTGCATTGGGGGGAAAAAATACACCGGGAATTTTTAGTACAGATGAATGGCAGCTTGGCTATAATGATCCTGGAATTATATGCTGGGTGAGACCTGACCCCAGGCGCTCCTCCCTCCCTCCAGAAGGATGGAGGGAGGGAGGGGGACTTAAATTTTGATATTCTGCCATCACTTTCCTATTCTCCTCTCCCTTAAGTACCCTTAGGGAGCTTTCCCTCCCACTAAGTACCCTTAGGGAGCTTTCCCTACCACTAAGTACCCAGAGGGAGCTTTCCCTCCCACTAAGTACCCAGAGGGAGCCTTCCCTCTCAATAACCGTAAGTAGCCTTATCCTCCTCTCTCTCTCTTTCTCTCTCTCTCTCTCTCTCTCTCTCTCTCTCTCTCTCTCTCTCTCTCTCTCTCTCTCTCTCTCTCTCTCTCTCTCTCTCTCTCTCTCTCCTCTCTCTCTCTCTCTCTCTCTCTCTCTCTCTCTCTCTCTCTCTCTCTCTCTCTCTCTCTCTCTCTCTCTCTCTCTCTCTCTCTCTCTCTCTCTCTCTCCCTCCCTCCCTCCCTCCCAGTAGCGTCCCATCCTTGTAGCCTTTGGTAGCATTCCCTTCCCTCCTCCAAACCACCTTCCCTTCCTATTGTTTACGGTTCCCTTCCCATCCATGAAGCCACGGCAGCGGTACTTCCCTCCCTCCTCCTTCTCCCCTTCCTCTAAATACTCTCGTCTCGCTCCATCCACTGAAAATACTGCACATTTACGACGAAAAATTACTTTAATAGAGTACATTTACTCGAGAATTTTTAATTAACTGAAGTTAAGTGGCGAGCGCTCCGGCCTGGTACATAGAGTGCTGGGAGGTCTCGAGTGACCCCCCCAGCCTAGAGGTTATCTAGAGATAATTTCGGGGCTTAGCGTTCCAGCGGCCCGGTCCTCGACCAGGCTTCTTTTTGTTGCACACCCCCAGGAAGCAGCCCGTAGCAGCTGTCTAACTCCCAGGTACCTATTTACTGCTAGGTAACAAGGGCATCAGGGTGAAATAAACATTTTTGCTCATTTGCCTTCGCCTCCACCGGGGATCGAACGCGGAACCTCAGGACAACGGAGCCGAAGCGCTGTCCAGCCAGCTATGAGGTGCCCTGCCCTATAACCTCCTCTGCCCTATATCGCCTTGACTTCGGGGATGGGATGATTGTGTCATTCGGTCTAAAACTGGACCTCATTTGCGTCATGCAACTGGGCTATTTCGCTGCCCCTCCCCATCATCGTCTGATAGGATGATGGGGAGGGATGATGGGGATGATACATACATCATCATTTTTTTTTTGTAGCATCGCATTTTGAAAATGAATAGTGTTTTTATTGTTGTCTTTTATATATCAACAAATATTATTACTTTTTAATGGCATTGCTATACTAGCAATTGAACAATAATGTTGGGTTGGACGCGGGTTGGACGTGTATATGAGTGGGATTGGGTGGTTATAGATAGGAGCTGCCTCGTATGGGCCAATAGGCCTTCTGCAGTTGCCTTTGTTCTTATGTTCTTACGTAATGTTGGTTAACCCTGTATAGGCCTGAAGTGATACGAGGAGAGAACCGTGTGACATTACGGAATTCGATACTTGTTCCTTATCAGTTATTCAGCACTCGGAGTCAGTAGATTGCTTATTAAGGGAAAGGAGCCAGTGGAAAGTATAAATTTCCAGTTGGGCAGCGGTTAGTTGGCTTCTGGGATCTTTCCTTATTAAGGCTGTCCATAGCATAGTGGTTAGGGTCTCTATCTTCGGGGATAGAGACTCCAGTCTCCCTCAATCTCGAGGGAGATTGGGATTGGAGATGGGACATTGTTAACTTTGCAGGCGATGAGTCATAATAACGTGGCTGAAGTACGTTGACCAATCCACACACTAGAAAGTGAAGGGACGACGACGTATCGCTCCGTCCTGGACCATTCTCAAATCGATTGACAATCGACTTGAGAATGGTCCAGGACGGACCGAAAGGTCGTCGTCGTCGTCCCTTCACTTTCTAGTGTGTGGTCTGGTCAACCGTGTTAACTTTTCTTGTGGGCCTCTCGTACATACCTCCACGGCTCCCCAAGATGGGAACAACTGGCATAAGGAAACCCCTTGTAGCTCTCCTAACGTGTCAGGCCTTACACAGTGCCAATGTCTTCGGAGGGGATCCTGGCACTGACCCGCTTTGGCATTCTAGGTCTCGCATCTGTCTCTTACAGTCAGAGCCTACATAATAGTGTCTGGGCTGACTCGGGTTCGTTTTCTGAAGGAGATTGCCAAGTTGTTTCTTAAAAAGAAAAAGTCAACAAACTTCCCATTTACTTACAATTTTTTCTCTCTTGCCATCTTAACATTCCCGGGGAAGACTGAAAACTGATTACAGCACAAAAGATGTTTCTCTCTCTCTCTCTCTCTCTCTCTCTCTCTCTCTCTCTCTCTCTCTCTCTCTCTCTCTCTCTCTCTCTCTCTCTCTCTCTCTCTCTCTCTCTCTCTCTCTCTCTCTCTCTCTCTCTCTCTCTCTCTCTCTCTCTCTCTCTCTCTCTCTCTCTCTCTCTCTCTCTCTCTCTCTCTCTCTCTCTCTCTCTCTCTCTCTCTCTCTCTGTCTTTCTCTCTCTCTCTCTCTCTCTCTCTCTCTCTCTCTCTCTCTCTCTCTCTCTCTCTCTCTCTCTCTCTCTCTCTCTCTCTCTCTCTCTCTCTCTCTAACTCTCTCTCTCTAACTCTCTCTCTAACTCTCTCTCTCTCTCTCTCTCTCTCTCTCTCTCTCTCTCTCTCTCTCTCTCTGTCTCTCGAACTATTTCTAACTTCGTAACGCTTCTCAAGAAATGTCAGGTTCAATTACTGTTTAATTACTCAGTGGGAGGGACCGTAGAGCACGCCTGGGAGAGCGAGTCATCAGAGGGGAACTGTTCCCGGTATAATTAGTTCCTCCCGTACCAGCCACACGTGCTGAGGTCATGCCACACGTGCTGAGGTCATGCCACACGTGCTGAGGTCATGCCACACGTGCTGAGGTCATGCCACACGTGCTGAGGTCATGCCACACGTGCTGAGGTCACGACACACGTGCTGAGGTCACGACACACGTGCCGAGGTCACGACACACGTGCTGAGGTCACGACACACGTGCCGAGGTCACGACACACGTGCCGAGGTCACGACACACGTGCCGAGGTCACGACACACGTGCTGAGGTCATGCCACACGGGCTGAGGTCACGACACACGTGCTGAGGTCACGACACACGTGCCGAGGTCACGACACACGTGCCGAGGTCACGACACACGTGCTGAGGTCATGCCACACGTGCTGAGATCACGACACACGTGCCGAGGTCACGACACACGTGCCGAGGTCACGACACACGTGCTAAGGTCATGCTAGATTACCTATAGGTATTGTACAGAGAGAGAGGTATACACAACATCTAGACGCAGTCTGAAACATAGCCTTGTCACCCATTCAGGTTGAGACACGAAAGTATCAACCGGGCAGTTCGTTACATGACTGTCATTGTCACAGTCTGTCATATGACAGTGGCATTGTCACAGTCTGTAACATGAGTGACATTGTCACAGTCTGTCACATGACCATGTGTCACATCCCATATAACGTCTCTACAACAGTATCTCACTAACTCAACTTTGAGCCAAGTGAACGTAACAACTTCTGAAAGGGTGAACAGAAATAAACTTGAATACAATACGTAAAGAGACTTAACAGAGCTGCTGGAGCGATTACTAACTAACTTGCCCAAGTTTTCAGCGAAACAATTCTTACTGAGGAATGTTGACCAAATTACACACTAGAAAGTGAGGGAACGACGACGTTTCGGTCCGTCCTGGACCATTCTCAAGTCAAGAATGGTCCAGGACGGATCGAAACATCGTCGTCCCTTCACCTTCTAGTGTGTGGTCTGGTCAACATACTTCAGCCACGTTATTGTGACTCATCGCCTGAAAAGGGGTAACTAATTTTATATAAATTTCGACTCACTCAGCTGCTCTCACTGCTGACCACCCACATATTAGACAATTATACCTGCACTTTAAGAGAGAATATCTATCCAAAGCTGGAGACCAGACGCATATGGCTAGTCTCATCAAAATTTGAAGGGGAAATAATAATAATTCTGCATGTGCCTCTCACAGGATGCAAGTTGCAACAGTGGGAAAGAACTGCAGCTCCCTGAAACAACGCAGGAATCTGTATTTCTTTGTTTATGATAACCACAGTTTTCCCAAACTGTTTCTGGCGAGTTATTCTGAAATGATTTAACCCGAGACAGCTGTCCAGGAGAAACAACTGTAAGTAATTTGCATACGATTGTCTAGGAAAAAGAGGCCCAATCTAATCAGGTGTGTTTCCTTAGATGGGATGTTCATGGCCCGCTCAGCCTTCCTCAGCCTTCCTCAGCCTTCCTCAGCCTCCCTCAGCCTTCCTCAGCCTTCCTCAGCCTCAGGCCAGCCTCCTTCAGCCTCTGCACTAAATGAACAAGTAAGTCTTAGCAAGACAATAATCGCACTCAATCACCCTCAATTTGGTTTCATTTAACTATCCATCTATATTCCTTCTTATCTCCCTCTAACCCTCATTAACAATTTTACCCTCCATCCCTCTAAATCTAAACCATCCCTCTTGCCTTCAAACACTCTCCCTCTCCCTTCTTTTCCTTCAACACCCTATCCTTCCCTCCCTCGAACCCCTCCATCTAGCCTACCTACTTCTCCTCATACACATAATAATGCCAATATTTACCCAACAATTTGTTTAATACAGCACCAGCCGGGGTACCAGCAGAGCCTCGACACAATTAGACTAATCCTGTCATTATGGCGCTCTACCCCCCAATCCCCCAATCCCTTCTCCCAATCGCTGGAAGCGAGGAAAATGGAGTTTTATATCCAATTACTGTTTCATTGCTCTGTTGTTGCTGCGGTTCGGTGCAACTCTCTTGCCGTGTTGGAAATGTAGATATCTCCACTTTTGTGGTGATTACGCTATCAACAGTTTAATGAAACAGCGTCTGTCTTAACTGGAGGTTCCTTCAGTGGTTCTCATAGGAGAATTATTATGAGAATTCTCGTGTTTGGGTAAGAGGGTGGTTATCTTGAGTTAATTTCGGGGCTTTAGTGTCCCGCGGCCCGGTCCTCGACCAGGCCTCCACCCCCCAGGAAGCAGCCCGTGACAGCTGACTTACACTCAGGTACCTACTTACTGCTAGGTAACAGAGGCATAGGGTGAAAGAAACACTGTCCATCGTTTCTCTCCGGCGCCTGGGATCGAACCCGGGACCTCAGGATCACATGAACAGCGTGCTATCCGCTCGGCCGACCGGTCCTTCTAGGGTAGCGGGGGGGTGGGTTTAATGATGAGGCATGAGGTGAAAGGAAACTCGTCCAATCGTCTCTCTATCGCCCCGGGATTCGAACTCTAGGTCTTCGGTTGTGAGTTACAGGAAATCGTCTCACCATTAACTTACTATATATATATGAAGGGTAATGCTTATCCAAACTGGTATTTAATTATTTCCCCAAAAAATCACAATATATAACTATATCCCCCTCCAGACAATTTATTCTGTGTACATAGAAGACATTATAAGCTCGAAAAAAGAATTAAAGTTTAAAATAAAACATAAAAGTTCAAAATTTATGCCAAGGACACTATTAAAGGAATCATATGGAGCAGAGTACCTACCAAAAAAAAAAGGACTATACTTATAGAAAATTAGCTTCAACCAAAAAAAACTTTTGACACGCTGTTACAACACAGAACAATCAACACAGCAAATAAAAAATAAAAATAAATATGTTTATTCAGGTAAGGTACATACATACAAGTGATGTTACATTAATGGAATGATATATAGATAGAGCTAGTACATACAATGCCTAAAGCCACTATTACGCAATGCGTTTCGGGCAAATGGTGATAGGAACAATGTGTGTGTGTGTATGTGTGTGTGTGTGTGTGTGTGTGTGAGTGTGTGTGTGTGAGTGTGTGTGTGTGTGTGTGTGTGGAGTAATTTTTGCGAAATTTACCAGAAACTTAGTTCCTAAAACTCCCACCAGGAGAGCTATCTTGAGGTTATCTTGAGATGATTTCGGGGCTTTAGTGTCCCCGCGGCCCGGTCCTTGACCAGGCCTCCACCACCCAGGAAGCAGCCCGTGACAGCTGACTAACTCCCAGGTACCTATTTACTGCTAGGTAACAGGGGCATTCAGGGTGAAAGAAACTTTGCCCATTTGTTTCTGCCTCGTGCGGGAATCGAACCCGCGCCACAGAGTTACGAGTCCTGCGCGCTATCCACCAGGCTACGAGGCCCCCCTCACGATATTAATATGCTGCCTAATTTCAAAAGCAAACATCACTTCATGTAAATACTTGTGAATTGCTTGCTTCAGGTCATTACCAAGAGCTTCTATCATAACATCTGGAAACTTGAGGAGAGCAAGTTGACCAAACCACACACTAGAAGGTGAAGGGACGACGACGACGTTTCGGTCCGTCTTGGACCATTCTCAAATCAATCGACTTGAGAATGGTTCAGGACGGACCGAAACGTCGTCGTCGTCGTCCCTTCACCTTCTAGTGTGTGGTTTGGTCAACATACTTTAGCCACGTTATTGTGACTCATCGCCTGCTTGAGGAAAACAGGTTATAAAAAAAACTCTAGAGTATGCAGCGGGGGATACATAATGATACGTAACAAGGATACGTTTCGTGTGTCGGAGACACACGAAACGTATGACTCTAGACTGGACCTTTCGTGACTCCGGAACCCTGGAAACACAAACCGAAACTGTCTCTATTTTCCGCTTGTTACAACTTGTAATAAAGGTGTTAAATCTTGGCTTAACGTGTTTATGACGTATTAGAACGTTGTTACAACTTGCTATATTGGTTGTTATAACTGGTTAGGAGGTGTTAAAACTTGTTCGAACGTTGTACCAACGTCGTGGTTTCGGTGTGTGTTTGGCGGGAACTCGACTTCCGTGGCGAGTATTGCATTAAGGAGCAAACAGTCTCCAATTACACTTCCAATCAAGAGTGATTTATTTGCATTTTATGTTAAAAAATAATTTAAGGCAAAAATTGCAAAGAAATTGAGTTGCACGTCGAAATAAAAAAAAATGACAATTGGCATATTTTTTTGTTTAATGAAAAAAGATATGTCAGAAGTCTGCTGTGTCCTGTCTCAGGCTATATATAACCTGTCTGCTTCTATAACCTGTCTTATAATATCTATCCGCTTGTATATCATCTAATTCATAAGTGGCACACCGAATCTTTGCCTGTCTATTGTTTTTAAATAAGTTGACCCGTCTGTCAGTTCTGTCTGTGTTTTTGTGTAAAATGTGCTTGTTGGCTTGCCTGTCAGGCTGTCTGGTTGAGTGAGTTATAAGCTGCCTCTCTGGCATCTCCCTGCTCTAAGTTATTGATTTCAAACTCTGTTATTTTCTATCTTGCCCTTGTTACTTTTTTACTTGCTGCAAGATCTGGATTTAGTCCACATATGTTCACAAACAGGGGTCTGGTAGGCGAGCGGCGAGCGCGCAGGACTCGTAATTCTGTGGCCCGGGTTCTTTTCCCGGACCAGGCAGAAACAAATGGGCAAAGTTTCTTTCGCATTGATGCCCCTGTTACCTAGCAGTAAATAGGGACCTGGGAGTTAGACAGCTGTTACGGAACTGCTTCCTGGGAGTGTGTGTGTGTGGGGGGGGATAGTTAGTAGGTAGTTACAGTTGATTGACAGCTGAGAGGCGGGCCGAAAGAGCAAAGTTCAACCCCCGCAAGAACAACTAGGTGAATACAATTAGATGAATACACACATACACACACACACACACACACACACACACACACACACACACACACACACACACACACACACACACACACACACACACATACACATGAAGAAACAAATCCACAAGGGCCATGACGAGGACTCGAACCTGCGTCCGAGAGCATCCTTTCTTCATCACATGAAGAAAGCCTCGTACATAAGCACTGGTCACAGTGTTAACGTCCCAGGAGGTTCAGCGAGCAATATCCATTTCCTGGAGCGAATTTCTGGTTTCCTCTCCCATCCTTTCCCTCTTTCCCCTTGCCCTCCCTTCCCACCTCTCCCCCTACCCTCCCACCATCCTGCAGCCGGCCACCCATAACCCTACAGCAGGGGGCGAGCCTCGCATAAAACAAATACAATCTACAAAAACACGCAAAAAAAAAGGGGATGACTGTAACAAATAAATGAAACCATAACACAAAGGTAATTCAGACATTGTAGTTCAGACATAAGTGTAGATATGATAGAGCCCAATAGGCTCAGGAACCTGTACATTAGTTGAGAGGCGGGACCAAAGAGCCAGAGCTCAACCCCCGCAAGCACAACTAGGTAAGTACAACTAGCTAAGTACACACAAAAAAAAAGAGAACAAGAATTTCTTCCCAGTATAAAAAATCGTAAATTTCATGTCACTGAACTCTGCTGATTGTGGCTAAATAAAAAAAAATAAGAATTGGTTGTACCATATTTCAAGAATTTCAATCTCTTCTCTCATCGCCATCATCAGCAACCTCAAACACACTTCAAGTGTCAAGAAAAATTGTCAACGTGGCTTGTGTGTGATAAAAGTTCTTTACGATACTCTAAATTCAATTTTTTTATTCACACCATATATTTTTGTAATATATATATATATGTGTGTGTGTGTGTGTGTGTGTGTGTGTGTGTGTGTGTGTGTGTGTGTGTGTGTGTGTGTATATCACGAAAATAAACACGTGATTAAAAATGTGACAATGTCAGACCACTGAGGAAAAATGAAACAGGAATTTCCTTAAGTACTTTCGTATATTAATACATCTTCAGAAGGAGTGTGTTCTGACATATATATATATATATATATATATATATATATATATATATATATATATATATATATATATATATATATATATATATAATGTTTCTCTCATATCACAGTAAAAATTCTTGATGAGTAGAGACACGCGAGATTTTGATCAGCGCAGAATAATATATTAGGGCAGGCTATTGGATTATAAATTATGTAAATTAGAGAGAGGACAAGGCTATTGGAGGCCCTACTGGTGTGGCGTATGGTGTGGTGACGGGTGGTGGGATGTGGCGCTGTGTAGGTGCGTGGTGATGTGGTGTAATGTGGTGTGGTGTGGGGGGAAATGGAATTATGAGCACGGGTCCCCCACACTAATATCAACAATGTCCTCCTTCCCCAACCGCTTCCACAACCCCCCTACAACCCGTGCTGGATAGGAACGAGGCTCACCACATTAAACCCCACAAACAATTCACCCAAAATGCAACACTTTTTTTTTTAATTTTCATAACAGAACGCCATATAGGATTTTTGCATCATATATTTCCCCTCTCTTTCCCTAAACTGTTGTAATTAAAAATAACTTCTGACGGGTGATATTACCTACATGTGTTCTGTG